AACATTGCCAATCAGTGTTGTGATGGCAACATCTTCAATCAGTGTTGTGATTCCAACAATGGCAACCAGAGCTGTGATGCTCACATTTCCAACCAGTGTTGCGATGCCCACATTGGCAACCAGTGTTGTGATGCCAACATTGCCAATCAGTGTTGCGATGCCCACATTGCCAACCAGTTTTGCGATGCCTGCTTTGCCAACAGGTGTGGTGTTGCCAACATTGTCAATCAGTGTTGTGATGACAATAATGCCAACCAGTGTTGTGATGCCCACATTGCCAACCAGTTTTGCAATTCCCGCATTGGCAACTAGTGTTGTGATGCCCACATTGGCAACCAGAGCTGTGATGCTCACATTTCCAACCAGTGTTGCGATGCCTACATTGGCAATCAGTGTTGTGATGCCAACATTGGCAATCGGTGTTCTGATGCCAACATTCCCAATCAATGTTGTGATGCTCACATTTCCAATTGGTATTGTGATGTCAACATTACCAATCAGTGTTGTTATGCAAACATTGCCAAGCAGTGTTGTGATGCTCACATTTCCAATTAGTGTTGTGATGCCAACATTCCCAATCAGTGTTTTGATGCTCACATTTCCAATCAGTGTTGTGATGCCCACATTGCCAACCATTGTTGTGATGCCAACATTGCCAATCAGTGTTTTGATGCTCACATTTTCTATTAGTGCTGTGATGCCAACATTGGCAACCAGTGTTGTGATGCCCACATTGGCAACCAGTGTTGTGATGCCAACATTGACAATCAGTGTTTTGATGCTCACATTGCCAACCAGTGTTGCAATGCCCACATTGTCAACCAGTGATGCGATGCCCACATTGCCAACCAGTGATGCGATGCCCATATTGCTAACCAGTGTTGCGATGCCCACATTGTCAACCAGTGTTGTGATGCCCACATTGCCAACCAGTGTTGTGATGCCAACATTGCCAATCAGTGTTTTGATGCTCACATTTTCAATTAGTGCTGTGATGCCAACATTGGCAACCTGTGTTGTGATGCCCACAATGGCAACCAGTGTTGTGATGCCAACATTTTCAATTAGTGTTGTGATGCTCACATTTCCAATTAGTGTTTTGATACAAACATTGGCAAGCAGTGTTGTGGTGCAAACATTGCCAAGCAGTGTTGTGATGCAAACATTGTCAAGCAGTATGGTGATGCAAACATTGCCAAGCAGTGTTGTGATGCCAACATTGCCAAACAGTGTTTTGATGCTCACATTTCCAATCACTGTTGTAATGCCCACATTGCCAACCAGTGTTGCGATGCCAACATTGCCAAGCAGTGTTGTGATGCTCACATTTCCAATTAGTTTTGTGATGCAAACATTGCCAATCAGTGTTGTGATGCCCACATTGCAAACCAGTGTTGTGATGCTCACATTTCTAATTAGTGTTGTGATGCCAACATTCCCAATCGGTGTTGTGATGCCAACATACCCAATAAGTGTTTTGATGCTCACATTTCCAATCAGTGTTGTGATGCCCACATTGCCAACCATTGTTGTGATGCCAACATTGCCAATCAGTGTTTTGATGCTCACATTTCCAATCAGTGTTGTGATGCCCACATTGCCAACCATTGTTGTGATGCCAACATTGCCAATCAGTGTGTTGATGCTCACATTTTCAATTAGTGCTGTGATGCCAACATTGGCAACCAGTGTTGTGATGCACACATTGGCAACCAGTGTTGTGATGCCAACATTGACAATCAGTGTTTTGATGGTCACATTTTCTATTAGTGCTGTGATGCCAACATTGGCAACCAGAGCTGTGATGCTCAAATTTCCAACCAGTGTTGCGATGCCCACATTGGCAACCAGTGTTGTGATGCCAACATTGGCAATCAGTTTTCTGATGCCAACATTGCCAATCAATGTTTAGATGCTCACATTTCCAATTAGTGTTGTGATGCTAACATTACCAATCAGTGTTGTTATGCGAACATTACCAATCAGTGTTGTTATGCCAAAATTGCCAATCAGTGTTGTGATGCCAAATTGCAACCAGTGTTGTGATGCCAACATTGCCAATCGTGTTGCGATGCCCACATTGCCAACCAGTTTTGCGATGCCTACTTTGCCAACAGGTGTGGTGT